GAGATGCATCAGGTAGTTCCAACGATGCTTGACTCCACTACTACTACTACTACTACTACTACTACTACTATTACTACTACTACTACTACTACTACTACTACTAATAATAATAATAATAATAATAATAATAATAATAATAATAATAATAATAATAATAATAATAATAATAATAATAATAATAACAATAATAATAACAATAACAATAACAATAACCATAACAATAATAATAATAGTTATAATAATAATAATAATAATAATAATAATAATAATAATAATAATAATAATAATAATAATAATAATCTGCTGTTCAAAATTCCCACGGGCACGCGAGAATTTTTTTTCGGAAAATTATCGCCAATTTGAGTACACGCTCTCAAAAAGGTTCGCCACTCCTGGTGTATGCTTTAGTAACGTCTAAGTCATATATCCTAAGTTTTCCGAAAATATTTATCAAAGAAATCCAAATCCTTACGATATATAATGTAACTAAAGCAGATAAAGTCATTACAGTAATGATTTTGAATAAAGATGATTACCGCTCTGAAAGTGACTCAGAAATAATCCCCTTAACACATTTAAATCCTCAATTAAAAGATTAAGATTTTGTTAAAAAGTGAAGATTATTTCATGAAACAGTATTCTCACTGTCCCCTTCTCTGCCATAGTGCATGGCCTTACCAAAACTCACAAACCAAGTTACCCAGCAAGAGCTATTATTAATTAGTTCAGTTGGGTTCAATGGTTCTAAGACAACTAACTGCCCCCTGGACACCTGCCCCCATGGGACAATTGCCTGTACTGATATTTACTGTTTTTTACAGGGACAGTTGTCCGTGGGGCAGTGGCCCTCATTCCCGTTAAATCACATAAAAATGAACTGTCTAAATGGTTAGTGTACTTATTTAACCCTTTAGTTGGCAACATATCAAATTCTGATATTAAGAATAATGCGGATGAAGTTGAGAAACTTAATAGCTTACACATTAATTATGATTTTAAATGGTTAGTATTGATGTAACATCGCTGTTTACAAAAGTCCCAGTTGATGATTTGTTTGAGTTCTTCACAGATTCCCCGGAAGATATTTTCTTGCTTTTTTAAAACATTTTTCTTTATCGACGTTGTTAAACTTTGTATCAATGATTGTATATTTAAATTTAATGTAGAATTTTATGCCCAAAAAGTTTTGTATGGCGATGGGTAGTCCTCTCTCACTAGTGTTGAACAATTTGTATATACCTGTAGGTATTTTTGAGAAGAGATTATTTAGTAAATTTATCATTTGCAGTTTGATTCAGATATGTAGATGTTGTTATTTGTCTTTACCCATGTAGTGAGAATTTAGAAGCATTTATACCACTATTTAATAACTCAGCTGTGGAGTAAAAAAAGTTATTGTAAATTGTCATTCTTAGATTATTTGATCTACAGAGCAGGTACCACATTAAAGTTCAGTATGTATAGGAAACCTACCAAAATGGGTTCCTATATTCATTATCATTTTACCCGCCATGACAGAGTCAACATGTCAGTAATTTCATCGGTGTTTACGCATAAACTGTCTGGAGCATATTTATAACATTGGCAAGAATTTAATGTACCGTAGATCTTTTATAGATAAATGTTCTAATATGACAAAGAAATTATATTTTAAAATTGATTCTACACTAACTTCATGGGACAAAGAATCTCTTAGTTTAGTCATTCAATGAAAATTTATCTGAAGGTCCTCATCAATTCAAAACCGATATGTAAATGTAGCTTTCAGTAATTCTTCTACTGTAAAGAAATCATATCTATGAATTTCCAAACATTTCATATGGTTGCATTTACAAGGTGCCATGCAAAGAGTGTAATATGTTTACTTTGGGTAGACGGGCAACGATCTCGTAGCTAGACTTAAACAGCATAAATATAGTGGTCGGACAGGTCAGGAGTCCAATACTTTATTTGTTCATATCAGAGATAACAATAATTATATTGGCATGGGCAATACCTACTAAATTTTAGCGTGTAATTAAATTACTAATATGAATATTATAGCATCTAATCTATTTATGCATAATGAATGTGTTAACACACACATATATATATATATATATATATATAATCAACATCTCAACCCGCCAGGATTCGAACCCACGGCCCACAAGCCTATGACTGTGACCGGGGAATGCTAACCACTGGACCACCAGGATACTAAAAGCAGTCTTAGACTTTGTTATATTTCACACAAAGCCTGTTCAACTAGCTTATGGCGCCGTGAACCTCTAATGGAGACCACCCGTATCACGTAGGTGGTCAGAGTAACGTTTTACCAAATCCGGCTTCGAAACACGAGGATCCGTATATATTTCATTAGCCCAATAAAGCACGCGGACTTCTACATACAATCAACACCTCAACCCGCCAGGATTCGAACCCACGGCCCACAAGCCTATGACTGTGACCGGGGAACGCTAACCACTGGACCACCAGGATACAATAAGCAGTCCTAGTCTTTGTTAGCGTTCCCCGGTCACAGTCATAGGCTTGTGGGCCGTGGGTTCGAATCCTGGCGGGTTGAGGTGTTGATTGTATGTAGAAGTCCGCGTGCTTTATTGGGCTAATGAAATATATATGGATCCTCGTGTTTCGAAGCCGGATTTGGTAAAACGTTACTCTGACCACCTACGTGATACGGGTGGTCCCCATTAGAGGTTCACGGCGCCATAAGCTCGTTGAACAGGCTTTGTGTGTAATATAACAAAGTCTAGGACTGCTTTTAGTATCCTGGTGGTCCAGTGGTTAGCGTTCCCCGGTCACAGTCATAGGCTTGTGGGCCGTGGGTTCGAATCCTGGCAGGTTGAGGTGTTGATTGTATGTAGAAGTCCGCGTGCTTTATTGGGCTAATGAAATATATATATATATATATATATACACAGTGAACCCTCACTTTACGTGGTTAATTCAACCCACGGCGGCCCTCTTAAAGTGAGAAACGCGTAAAGTGAACAACATAACATATGGGATTAATTGAAATAGAGACCAGGCCGACCCCCAAACTCCACTTTTTCAGACACAATACCTATGTTGTAGTAAAAATAACTTCTTAATTTAATGATGGTATGCACACAAAATTAATAATTAAGAGAAATATCAATAATATTAGGTTTTTTAACACTTACATTAGTAGAAAAGATGGCTGGGCACACGGGGATGGGGGGTTGGTTCCGAGGCAGAGGGCAGATTATTGGCCCTCACCTGTATCACTTGTATCAATTGTATCACTATCCACCACAGAGGCTTGCAGGGCCTCTTTGTCAAACCCCTCAAAGTCCATATAAGTCCATATCCTCACTATCATTATCACTATCACTGACTTGGGCCGGCTTTTGGTGGGTGGCGGGTGAAGAACTCGGTAATGTTTTGATGACTGGGCGACCTTGTGGGCACCCTGCTCGCGCCGCTTACACAACATGGTGGATGGCGGGAGAGGGCGGGAGAGATGGCGGGAGGTTTGGATCCAAAAATGGCGTGACTCGCCAGCCGCTCTCCGCGTAAAGGGGTACACGCACCGAGGAATGTGAGCATTCCGGTTTCGGCAGGGTACCGCGTAAACGTGGAAACGCGGAATGTGGGACCGTGTAAAGCGAGGGTTGACTGTACTGTATTTATATATATATATATATATATATATATATATATATATATATATATATATATATATATATATATATATATATATATATATATATATATATATATATATATATATATATATATATATGCAAGTAAGTCACTGTAGGTGCGCGTGATCCAGATATATGCTGATAACCACAAGGAAAAAGAAAACACGAAGTTCCCAAGCCGTGAATCTCCAAATTGGGTACTACCCATGCCTCTTAGGTGATCAGTGTAACGTTTTACCAAATCCAGCTTCGAAACACGGCGCCATAAGCTCAATAAACAGGCTTTATGTGAAATATAACAAAGTCTAGGACTGCTTTTAGTGTCCTGGTGGTCTCGAGGTAACATTAACCGGTCACACTCATAAGATCGTGGGTTCGAGTCCTGGCAGGGTGAGGTTGTTGATTATATGTAGAAGTCTGTGTGCTTTATGGGCTAATGAAATATATATGGAACCTTGTGTTTCGAAGCCGGATTTGGTAAAACGTTACTCTGATCACCTAAGAGGCACAGGTAGTACCCAATTTGGAGGTTCACTGAGCCATAAGCTCGATGAACAGGCTTTGTGTGAAATATAACAAAGTCTAGGACTGCTTTAAGTGTCCTAGTGGTCTAGAGGTAACGTTCTCCGGTCACACACATAAGATCGTGGGTTCGAGTCCTGGCGGGGTGAGGTTGTTGATTACATGTAGAAGTTCACGTGCTTTATGGGCTAATGAAATATATATATATATATATATATATATATATATATATATATATATACAACACATCCGGTATTTTATGTGCGATGCGTAGAGAAGAAAATCTAACATTAAAACACTGATTTATTGATTCTTAGAAATTAATGCATTTAAAATTCATAGCAAAGAGTAGCAAAACACTTAACTTCTTGTACAATAATCAAGAACTACCATAAGTGACTTAGCTACTCGTACAGCAGTCAAGTACCATCAGAAGTGAAATAGTTAATTCTATAACAGTCAAGGACAGCCATAAGTGAATTACTTAACTGTATAACAGTCAAGACCCACAAAAGTAAATTATCTATTTGTGAAAACAGTCAAGCACCACCATAAGTGAATTAGTTAATTGTATAAGTCAGTGATCGATAAAAGTGAATTAGCTACTTGGACAACAGTCAAGAACACCTATAAGTGAACTAGTTTCTTGCATAACACTCAAGGACCCCCATAAGTGAATTAGCTACTTGTACAACAGTCAAGTACTACCATACGAATCAGGTTAATAATACATGTGTGAGTTCTCATAATTGGTCTAGCTAACTGCCTCAATGAACACGCAACATAGCAGATCAGTGAATGACTCACTGTAAATATATGTTTGTTCCTCTGAAGAGTATAGTGAGACGACATCAGGGGAAGACTGGTCGCTGTCATAGGGGAGTTCTTGACACACCGAGCGGGCGTCCGAAAACGTCAGCTCCTGTAGCTCCAGACGGTAACATTCCCCTGTTTCTGGATTCTCCGTCCAGTCCCACCCGCATGCTGTGGCTGTGGAAGATGGTAATATAACTCTCTCTTTAAGTCATCTTTTTTTTTTTACGGGGATTAGCTCACCCGGGCACAGGTCACCTCATTAAACCCAGTATCATCCATCAACTCACATCCATCCCAAGAATCAGTTAATGTCACTCTCTCCGCCCACTGATATTACTGTACATGGCTGCTATCTGGGTGTTCATCTCGTCATTTCCCCCATCTCTTTCTTGGGTCTTCCTTTCTTCATCCCAGCATCCATCTCTAAATAATATGGTAATATCTAATAAATAACCATTCCAGCCACAATGAAACAATACATTTACAAATAATTGACATTAAAAACTACCCAAAAATATCTACATAATAAAAAACAATATCTAAAATTCTAAACCAAGCATTAACTGAAATAAGGTGAAGTGGTGTGACCTAGACTGTGTGTGGTGAAGTGATGTGACCTAGACTATGTGTGGTGAAGTAGTGTGACCTAGACTATGTGTGGTGAAGTGGTGTGACCTAGACTATGTGTGGTGACGTGTTGTGACCTAGACTATGTGTGATGAAGTAGTGTGACCTAGACTATGTGTGATGAAGTAGTGTGACCTAGACTATGGGTGGTGAAGTGGTATGAGCTAGACTATGTGTGGTGAAGTGGTGTGACCTAGACTATGTGTGGTGAAGTGGTGTGACCTAGACTATGTGTGGTGAAGTGGTGTGACCTAGACTATGTGTGGTGAAGTGGTGTGGCCTAAACTATGTGTGGTGAAGTGGTGTGACCTAGACTATGTGTGGTGAAGTGGTGTGACCTAGACTATGTGTGGTGAAGTAGTGTGACCTAGACTATGTGTGGTGAAGTGGTGTGAGCTAGACTATGTGTGGTGAAGTGGTGTGAACTAGACTATGTGTGGTGAAGTGGTGGGACCAAGACTTTGTGTGGTGAAGTGGTGTAACCTAGACTATGTGTTGTGAAGTGGTGTGACCTAGACTATGTGTGGTGAAGTGGTGGGACCAAGACTTTGTGTGGTGAAGTGGTGTGTCGTAGACTATGTGTGGTGAAGTGGTGTGACCTATACTTTGTGTGGCGAAGGTGTGTCCTAGACTTTGTGTGAATAAGTAGTGTGACCTAGACTTTGTGTGAAACGGTGTGACCTAGACTATGTGTGGTGAAGTAGTGTGACCTAGAGTATGTGTGGTGAAGTGGTGTGAGCTATACTATGTCTGGTGAAGTGGTGTGACCTAGACTATGTGTGGTGAAGTGGTGGGACCAAGACTTTGTGTGGTGAAGTGGTGTAACCTAGACTATGTGTTGTGAAGTGGTGTGACCTTGACTTTGTGTGGTGAAGTGGTGTGACCTAGACTATGTGTGGTGAAGTGGTGTGACCTATACTTTGTGTGGCGAAGGTGTGTCCTAGACTTTGTGTGAATAAGTAGTGTGACTTAGACTTTGTGTGATAAAGTAGTGTGACCTAGACTTTGTGTGATAAAGTAGTGTGACCTAGACTTTGTGTGAAACGGTGTGACCTAGACTTTGTGTGGTGAAGTGGTGTAACCTAGACTATGTGTTGTGAAGTGGTGTGACCTTGACTTTGTGTGGTGAAGTGATGTGACCTAGACTATGTGTGATAAAGTAGTGTGACCTAGACTATGTGTTGTGAAGTGGTGTTACCTAGAATTTGTGTGGTGAATTGGTGAAAAATTCACTATGAGGGGTGTAGTCGTGTAAACTTCACTATGGGGGGTGTAGTAGTGTAAACTTCACTATGAGGGGTGTAGTCGTGTAAACTTCACTATGAGGGGTGTAGTCGTGTAAACTTCACTATGAGGGGTGTAGTCATGTAGACTTCACTAGGGGGTTTAGTAGTGTGAACTATATTATGTGTGGTGTAGTAGTGTGAACGACAATATGAGGAGTGGAGAGTGTAACCTACACTATGTGGATTGCAGTAGTGTAAACTACACTATGTGGATTGTAATAGTGTGAACTACACTATGTGGCCTGTGGTAGTGTGAACTACTGTACACTACGTGCACGTAGTAGTGTGAATTACACTATGTGGGTGTATTCGTGAACTACATCATGTGGGGTGTAGCAGTGTGAACTACACTATGTGGGTGTAGGAGATTGAACTACACTATGTGGGGTGTAGCAGTGTGAACTACACCATGTGGGGTGCAGCAGTGTGAATTACACTACAGCATGTGGGGTGTATTGGTGTGAACGCCAATGTGTGGGTGTAGCAGTGTGAACTACCCTGTGTGGGGTGTATTGGTGTGAACTACACTATGTGGGGTGTATAGATGTGAACTACACTGTGTGGGGTATAGCAATGTGAACTAAACTATGTGGAGTGTAACAGTGTAAACTACGCTGTGGGGTGTAGTAGTGTGAACTACTGTACACTATATGGGGTGAAGCAGTGTGTACTACACTATGTGGGGTGTACCAATGTAAACTACACTGTGAGTGTATTGGTGTGAACTACACTGTGGGGTGTATTGGTGTGAACTACAGTGTGTGGGGTGTATTAGTGTGAACTACACTGTGTGGGGTGTATTAGTGTGAACTACACTGTGTGAGGTGTAGCAGTGTGAACTACACTATGTGGGCTGTGGTAGTGTGAACTACACTATGTGGGCTGTGGTAGTGTGAACTACACTATGTAAGGTGTAGTAGTGTGAACTACACGAATAGGGTGTGACTACAATATGTGGCTGTATCTGTGTGAAGTATACTGTGTGAGGTGTAACAGTGTGAACTACACTATGTGAGCTATAGTAGTGTGAATTACACTATGTGGGGTGTAGAAGTGTGAACTACACTATCTAGGGTATAGTAGAGTGAACGACACTATGTGAGGTGTAGTAGAATGAACTAAACTGTTTGGGTTGTGGCAGTGTAAACTACACTATCTGCGGTGTAATAATGTGAGCTACACTATGTGGGATGTAGTAGTGTGAACTACGCCATGTTGGCCGTAGCAGTGTGAATTATACTATGTGGAATGCAGTACGAGGTATAGTGTGAAATACAATATGTGTGGTGTAGTAGGCTATTTTAACAAAGGAAGTTCTGCTATATTAACTATTTTTTTAACCTTGACCTTCTAAAATCAGAGGCGGATACAGTGATGAAATTCCTTGCTGCCTGATATCCTTGGGGCTTCATCAGTCAACTAACCAAACATAGCAGAGTCACCGCCACCTGTCATTCTGTGGTAAATCATAGGTTGAATAACACGCTGAAAGCAATATAATAAACTGTAAAGCAAGGTCTTGGATTATTTCCTAATCTTTACCATGCATAAAACATCCACAAGAAGTGAAGAAAAAACAGACATCATAAAACGGGGTAATTTATACACTCTAGGCACCTTGGAATAGCACACAACTATACATAACGTTATTCAAACGTTTTGGTTATTTTATGAAATAAATTGATGATTCTACTCTCCACTCTTCTTCACACGTTTCCCTTCCTCCTTAATTCTCAAATTAGATCTGTTTCTAGAGCTGATATCATTTCATCTACGATATGCGCATCATCTCCGAATGGGGAGGTAGAAACTTGGTTAAATTCAATAGTAATAAAACACAGAATTTAAAAATTACACTTTCCAAATTAGATAATCTCCTACCAATCACATTTCAGGACGCAATCATTCTGCCAATTTCTAAAATAGATATGCTAGGTCTCATCATTTCCTCTAATATGTCATGGAAACCACACGTCCACAACATTGCTAAAGCTGCCTCCCAGAAAGCTGGGAATGCTGTACATATGCCGTATCTACTTCACTCCTGAGCAGTTGCTTCAAGTTTAAAAGAGATTCATTCATCCTAACTTGGAGTACTGCTCTCATATCTGGGGTGGCTCTTCTTCTGTCCAACTGTTAGTTAGGGTGGAATCAAAGGCATTTCGTCTTATTGACTCTCCTCCTTTCGTTGATAATCTTTCTTCCCTTTCTCTTCGCAGTAATGTTGCTTCACTCTCTCTTTTACGGGTACTTTAACGGGCAATGTTCTGTGGATTTGGTATCCTGTGTATCGCCGACAAGGCCGTGGGCTTGTAACACTCGTCTTGCCCGAGGTGCCCACAGTTTTTCTGTGGCTGTCGGTCACACTAGAATTACCCGTTATAGTACATCCTTCTTTCCTCACACAGCCAAACTGTGGAATGCTCTACTCTCCTCTTTATTTCCATACTCATACAATGTCTCACTTTAAAAAGATGGTTTTCTGACCCCCTAGGCCCCGTTGTGGGTCGATGACCTGTGCCCGGGTGGGCTATTCCCCGTAAAAAAAAAATAAAAAAATACTAATAATTGGCATTTCAGTTAGCCTGTGCAGGATGCGTTAGTGGATGGCAAAGTCAACTCCATAAATACTGTTTCTCTCCGCAGCAGGCTCATCCTTTCAGAAGAAGGTGTAGCCAGACCCCCGTTCTGTGAGTTGGCCTTCATCTCGGAGCCGGGACTCACTGATGGCCACGAGGGCAATTCTTCTTTCAGGACGCGCATTTGTGTCAGTATCCAGAAGGGTCCTGACATTCCTTGCAGTGACCATAAGAGGTTGTATGGTTTGTTTTTGTTTGGATCTGTAATTTTGGTTGTGTGTTTTCGACCGCATAAGAATGACCTTACTAGGTGCGGTTGCCCAGTCAGGTTGGGTTTTTAGGCAGGCTATGTTTAGGGCACCTTTTCTAGCCCCCTACCCTGTGGGGTGAGCAGAGTGGCTCCCCGATAGGGCTGCTCAATCACACAGACAGGACCGGATTGCATTGCTGCCTAAATTCCAGTGCATAAACGACCATATTATCTGTGCCGCCCAAGTGCAGAGTTGTGACTAGAGACTCCCGGCAGTCTTCTCTGCTTGACCCCGTCACCACTTGTCCGTTGCCATAGGACTTTTGGGGGTATAGGGGTTTCGAAGATGATTAGAGGTATGATGACCTGGAAAATGGCTGCACGTGAGTTGATTTATGTGGTGAGGCAGAAGCGCAGGCTGCAACCACACATCTTGGCTCTCCCTTTTCCTGATTCAGTGGTGCAAGTGTTGCAACGACTGGGGAGAAGGAGAGTCGCAATGGACTGCCGATAGCCCAGTTTGCTGGGTTTCGCCTTAGTAGCCTGTCCATCAGGCATTGCCTTCGTCCGCCGGTATAGTCGTTGGGTTTCCATGGTGGTCACCTCTTCCGCCCGCACCGCCGTTGGGGTCTTGTTGGAGCTCTGTAAGCAAGTCTGCCTGATAGGGAGTGGGGGGGGGGGGGCGGGGGCTCCACAGCAGATTTTTCGTTCGGGGTTTACTCCAGTAGCGTTATACCTAACAAGGTTAATCCGCAAGGCAGCGGGGCGGTGGTTGGTAGGCTCCAAGTTGTGTTCACATGCCAGTGGGCCTAAGCGCCATCCCTCTGGGGCCCACTGATACTCCAAGATCCCCTGCTGATCTAGCCTGGGCCCACGAGGCACCCAGTTACCGGGTGTTGCCACGAGGAGGCACACCAGGAGTCTTGATGGTGAGGAGGCTGTGTATTGGTAGGGGAAGACTTATGTAAATTGCTTCCCTGTTTGCCACGAGGGTTAGCCAGCGGCGGCATCTGAAAGCAAGAGGGAGCCATCAGTGCTTGCATAATAACACTAACATAATGCTACCAGTCGAGACGCATTTCACCACCCTGTGTGTGGCTGCACACACACACACACACACACACACGCGCACACACACAAGGACGTGCATGAAAGCTCAGCCTTTTTGCAAGTACATTGCTTCACACAATCCTCCCTGTATTTGCAGGAAACCAGCACCTTGCTCGTCTTCTGAACTTTGAAGCTGCCAGCCATTAATTCTGTGGCCACATCTGGGTGCTTTGTTGAAAGTTCAGCCATGTTCATCAGGTGAACCGGGATTCACCTGGCATAGTTGGTGCGGTCCAGAGGACCAGCTCAGCCAGGGCGTCGAAATACATGGTGAATGATGCTTGCCATAATGAACGCACGTATAAACGAGTTCCAGAAGCTCAACTTCTAGCACGGTTACCTAATACTGAAACTGAAGGTGTTCATAAGTTCTTTTATGGCACCAGTCTTGAAAGTATTCTGCATCCCTTGTCTCAGCTGAACGCATCCGACAGCCTCGGTTATATGCTCGTCTTTGTAAGATGTACAGGTCACATGTGACCTGGTGTGCTCGTCTTGTCCGAGCGATGTGGGTTGCTCGCAATAACGAATCAGCTGTCCCTGGCGTTGCGATCTCGGATTGCACTAATGCATGATCCCAACCACTTCCTTGCAATTAGTCTTCCAGCATCTAAATGGCTGCCAACTCTATGTGAGACTAATATACATCGCCACAAGCATGTCTTCCCTGTAGCTCTTGGGCCAATTCCACTGAATCTGATTGGCCAAGGTAAACAAGGTTTGGTCGAAGGTTACTACTGGTATCTACGCTGGATTGAGATGAACGCAAAAATAGTTGGGTGGCATAGGAAACCTATTTTTTTTTTATTGGGCACCCCCCTACATCCTTGTGTAAGGTGAAGCGCAAAAGCGTTTACAGCGCCCAACAGGGAAGCATGCTAAGTCCATGCTTGCCTTTATGCCTCACGAGTTAAGGGCGTAGAAGCCTGAAGAGTCAAGGGCGTAGAAGCCTGAAGAGTCAGTGGTTTAATGTCATCAAGTTATTGGAAGCTCCCTGAATACGAATTCGCAACTTTCGACTTACAACAGGTACCTACTTTACTGCTAGGTGAACAGGGACTAATAGGGGGCTAGGAAGTAAGTCCAAACAACTTCCCCCGGCCCGGGAATCGAACCCGTGACATCTCGCTTGCGAGGCAAGAACGGTACCGCTTCTACCACCGGTCTCATCTCTATTTTTATCTGTGTTAAGGATACTCACGATCCTGTGTGGGAATGGTGGTGGTCTTTACATCAATGGGTGTGATTGACGCCTTCTTCTTGCAGCTAAAGGTCAGTTTCTGGTCGCAGGAATTATCATTCCACTTGCCTGTGTCTGCTTTTATTTGAACACAGTTCTCTCCGGTACCGGAAGGCTCTCCTAAAAAAGATAATATTCAAAATTGTTACCCTAACAGATAACCAACAGATAATCAAGCTTCGACTTTTGGATGATATAAGATATCTATACAATTATTTAACTAATGGAAGACCTCTCAACATTCTTGGGAGAAAGCATTAAAACACAAATCTAATCACTTGACAGATTAATTAATGATATTAATAATAACAAGTGTAAATGTGGCGAGGTCTCTCTCACTGTGACATATTGTGATGCATACAATGAAACAGACAACGTTCCCCAAACTCAAAGACAAAAGAACAATCCTTTAGTATCTCTCGAATCTACATAAGAGAGGATCTTATCAAGTCTTCCAGTAATTTTGAACGCTATGTCTTACCATTATTCCAGTTGGTGATGGTTAATTTGGAACCGTCGCTCCAAACATAAGTGCCCTCATTTAAGCGGTCATTTAAGCCAACCCAACTTTCGCTCCGCTGGTGGTCTGTAGCAAAAATAAAAAATAAAAAATCTCGCATTTTGTATCAGAAACTTATAGTTAAGGAGGAAGAATTATAAGAACTTAAAGATTATATGTTAGACATGGACAATAATAATTTGAGAGGTTATATCAGACAGTCAATACTTCGCTTTGCAGTAACATATAGTAAAAAAAAAAATATCTCTATAAATAAATATTATAACAGAACATAACCTTAAAATTGAATGTTGAAAAGTATAATAGTATTAACTCTTGATAAAATAACTGTGTTGCCGGCCTTTCTGCAATCTTGGAACAGTTTTAAATAACCTTCAACTAAAATTTGCAAAATCCCAGAGGTTTACAGAATGTGTGAACTTGAATCATAATATTAAGAGAAGTCACAGTGAAATAGACCAAAATTCACTGAGTAAATATTAAAGAGGCTATTTTTAATTTTAGCAAAAGTAAACATATACTGTACAGTATAAAAGTACTCCAGCACATGTTCTCAACCCAATAAAAAATAATTCGCAATTGCCATCATTAAACTTTACCTTACTTCTTACACCGCCCCTTCCTCAACCATTCTGTGTCCAGGTGCCGAGCGGATAGGAGTTATTCCGTTTGTTTGTTTTTTATCTGTCCGGTACAATTTACTAAATATTACAGTGCGATGTAAAAGTAGGATATTTTTCTCACTATTGAAGTTCTACAGATCGGTGGGTATCTCCTCAGTATTACAGTATTATATAAGTGGATATTTCCTCAGAATTACAATGTTTCAGAAGTGTGGGTGTCTTCTGAGTATTACAGTGTTACAGAGGTGTGGGTTTCTTCAGAGTATTACATTGTTACAGAGATGTGGATGTCTTCTCAGCATCACAGTACTACAGAGGTATGTGGATTTTTTTTTATACAGTGTTAGGGAGTTTTGCCAGTATTGCTGTGTTACATAAGGGATAAAGGTTTTTAATTTTACATTGTTACAGCATGTTAGAAGGTTTCAAAATAGTACATAGTTACAGGCGAAGAGGGGGAGTCATCCCGAAATCAAAGAGTTACAGAGTTGTGAGTTTTTGGAAGCATTTGTGTGTTACAGAGGTAGAGTTGTTTTAGTATGGAGGTGTTATAGACGGATGGGATTATTTCATGGGTTACAATGTAATAGGGGGGATGTGGATATTTCTAGTACTTCTATAATGCAAAGGAAGGAGGTTTTCAAACTTGAATTATCACATAAGAGTGGGTCTTCCTTTTGGGATCACAGTATTGAGGAGTGTTTTTCTCAGAATTACAGTGTTACAAAGACATAGGGAATTCTTAATTGTATTATACTATAGTAATCAAAGGAGTGAAAGCCTTATAAAGACAATATTACAAGATTGATTGCAGCCTTACAGCATTACGGACAGGTGGATCTCTTCCCTGTCTTGTAGTAGAATGCAAGTTAAAGCATGGATGCCCTCTCATAATTACAGTACAAGGATACAGAGAGATGGTGGCATTCACAGTATTACAATGTTACAGATATGTATGGGTCTTCTCAGTATTAGAGAAGAGCGAGGTTTATCTTAGTGTTATTGCGTCAGGTGCAATAGTCTTCACTTGGGAATTACTGTTCAAAGTTGTAAGGAACTTATTAATATTATATTGTTATTAAGGAATATAATATCACAGTGAGATGAAAAGAACCCCAGGTTCTTTCCAACTCTATAATGCTACATATAAAAGGTGGTCTTCTCTGTATTGTAGCGTAATAGAAGAATGGGATTCTTTCCAGTAAGGTTTTTGTTTATTACCATGTTGTAAAATATTATTGTTCCACACAATAATGTTGTTGCACACAGTAATGTTGTTGCACACTGCACACAATATGTTGTTGGACACAATAATGTTGTTGGACACAATAATGTTGTTGGACACAATAATGTTAATGGACACAAAAATGTTGTTGGACACAATAATGTTGTAGGACATAATAATGTTGTTGGACACCATAAGGTTGTTGGACACAATAATGTTTTTTGCACACAGTAATGTTGTTGCACACAATAATGTTGTTGCACACAATAATGTTGTTGCACACAATAATGGTGTTGGACACAATAATGTTGTTGCACACAATCCTATTGGACAATAATGTTGTTGGACACAATAATGTTGTTGCACACAGTAATGTTGTTGCACACAATAATGGTGTTGCACACAATAATGTTGTTGGACACAATAATGTTGTTAGACACAATAATGTTGTTACACACAATAATGTTGTTGGACACAATAATATTGTTCCACACAATAATGTTGTTGGACACAATAATATTGTTGGACACAATAATGTTGTAGAACATAATAATGTTGTTGGACACAATAATGTTGTTGGACACAATAATGTTGTTGCACACAATAATGTTGTTGGACACAATTATGTTGTTGCGCACAATAATGTTGTTGCACATAGTAATGTTGTTGATACACAATAATGTTGTTGCACACAATGCTGTTGGACAATAATGTTGTTGGACACAATAATGGCATTGCACACAGTAAAGTTGTTGCACACAATAATGTTGTTGCACACAGTAATGTTGTTGCACACAATAATGTTGTTGCACACAATAATGTTGGACGCAATAATGTTGTTGGACACAAAAATGTTGTTGGACACAATAATGTTGTAGGACATAACAATGTTGTTGGACACCATTATGTTGTTGGACACAATAATGTTGTTGCACACAGTAATGTTGTTGCACACAATAATGTGGTTGCACACAATAATGTTGTTGCACACAATAATGGTGTTGGACACAATAATGTTGTTGCACACAATGCTGTTGGACACAATAATGGTGTTCCACACAGTAAAGTTGTTGCACACAATAATGTTATTGCACACATTAATGTTGTTGCACACAATAATGTTGTTGGACACAATAATGTTGTTGCACACAATAATGTTGTTGGACACAATAATATTGTTGCATAAAATAATGTTGTTGGACACAATAATGTTGTTGCACACAGTAATGTTGTTGCACACAATAATGTTGTAGGACACAATAATGTTGTTGGACACAATAATGTTGTTGGACACAATAATGTTGTTGGACTCAATAATTTTGTTGCACACAATAATGTTGTTGCACACAATAATGTTCTTGCACACAGTAATGTTGATGCACACAATAATGTTGTTGCACAAAATAATGTTGTTGCACACAATAATGTTGCTGCACATGGAAATATATTTTTGCACACAATAATGTTCTTGGACACAATAATGTTGTTGGACATAATAAAGTTGTTGGACACAATAATGTTGTTGCACACAGTAATGTTGTTGCGCACAGTAATGTTGTTGGACACAATAATATTGTTGCACAAAATAATGTTGTTGGACAAAATAATGTTGTTGGTTACAATAATGTTGTTGCACACAACAATGTTGTTGCACACAGTAATGTTGTTGAACACAATAATGTTGTTGCACACAATAATGTTGTTGGACATAATATTGTTTTTGGTCATAATAATGTTGTTGCACACATTAATGTTGTTGGACTCAATAATGTTGTTGCACACAGTAATATTGTTGCACACAGTAATGTTGTTGCACACAATAATGTTGTCGCACACAATAATGTTGTTAGACAAAATAATGTTGTTGGACACAATAATGTTGTGTGACACAATAATGTTGCTGGACACAATAATGTTGTTGGACAAAATAATGTTGTTGAACAAAATAATGTTGTTGGACACAATAATGTTGTTGGACACAATGCTGTTGGACAATAATGCTGTTGTACACAGTAATGGTGTTGCACACAGTAAAGTTGTGGCACACAATAATGTGGTTCCACATATTAATGTTGTTGCACACAATAATGTTGTTGGACACAATAATGTTGTTGGACACAATAATGTTGTTGCACACAATAATGTTGTTGGACACAATAATATTGTTGCATAAAATAATGTTCTTGGGCACAATAATGTTGTTGCACACAGTAATGTTGTTTCACACAATAATGTTGTTGCACACAATAATGTTCTTGTACAGTAATGTTGTTAAACACAATAATGTTGTTGCACAAAATAATGTTGTTGCACACAATAATGTTGCTGCACATGGTAATATTTTTGTACACAATAATGTTCTTGGACACAATAATGTTGTTGGACATAATAATGTTGTTGGACACAATAATGTTGTTGCACACAGTAATGTTGTTGTGCACAGTAATGTTGTTGGACACAATAATATTGTTGCACACAATCATATTGTTGGACAAAATAATGTTGTTGGTTACAATAATGTTGTTGCACACAATAATTTTGTTGCACACAATAATGTTGTTGGACACAAAAATGTTTTTGCACACAATAATATTGTTGGACACAATAATGTTGTTGGACACAAAAATGTTGTTGGACACAAAAATGTTGTAGGACATAATAATGTTGTTGGACACCATTATGTTGTTGGACACAATAATGTTGTTGCACACAGTCATGTTGTTGCACACAATAATGTTGTTGGACACATTAATGTTTTTGGACACAATAATGTTGTTGCACACAATAATGTTGTTGGACACAATAATGTTGTTGCACACAATGCTGTTGGACAATAATGTTGTTGGACACAATAATGGTGTTTCACACAGTAAAGTTGTTGCACACAATAATATTGTTGCACACAGTAATGTTGTTGCACACAATAATGTTGTTGCACACAATAATGTTGTTGGACACAATAATGTTGTTGCACATAGTAATGTTGTTGCACACAATAATGTTGTAGGACACAATAATGTTGTTGTACACAATAATGTTGTTGGTTATAATCATGTTGTTGCACACAATAATGTTGTTGCACACAATAATGTTGTTGGACACAAAAATGTTGTTGGACACAATAATGTTGTAGGACATAATAATGTTGTTGGACACCATAATGTTGTTGGACATAATAATGTTGTTGCAACAGTAATGTTGGTGCACACAATAATGTT